GGTTTCTGCTCCATTGCGGCACTGCCTGGCCTCAGATCTTTGTCCGTGGTGCTCAGGACAGTCCCTGCTACCCCCTGGGAGAACTGGGTGTCCCAGAGGAACCCGCGTCCGGCAGGGAACGGGGAGTGCAGGCACATGGCTGGGGCCACCAACCCTTGTGGGGCTTGGAGAAGATGAAGGAAAACCTTGCTGCTGCCTGCAGAGGGAGCCCCGTGCTTCCTGGAGGAGCTGCAACAGGGACAAGTGGCAGCAAGAGAAAACCCCACTAGATACCAGGAAAAACCCCTCGCAGCAAAGAGGGGGGCCTCCAGCCTTGGAAATACTCACCCCAACCCCTGGCTGGAGCAGCCTGGAGCTGCCCCATCTAAGCCAAACTGCGCTGAGCGTGAGCTGGACCAGACAGCCCCGAGGCCCTGTCTCACCTCGCTGCCGCACGTGCGCTGCTTCCTGGCCTTTGCCAAGGGTGCCAAATAACTGCCACGCTTGAGTTGTGTGTGTCGGGCAGCTGGCTTTGTGTCTGCCAGGTCCCTGCAGCTGCTCCTACAGCTCCGGGGCAGTCCCAGGGTAAAGCAGGGAGCCGTGAGCGCCCCAGCCCCGCGGGGTGTTGGTGCTGCCCACACCAGGACTGCTGCCAGCGGTGTCCCTGTGCCACGTGCGGCTGGTGAGGACCTTATCCTGGTCCAGGCACGTGGTGCGTGACCGCCAGCTGAGCTGCTCTGGCTCCTGAGCGTGTTCAGGCAGAGCTGGCCGTGACCACACCGTGCTGCTGGATGTGGCCACCACCTCTTCCCCAGGGCGAGCGAGGAGGGGGCTGCAGCCGTACCAAGGGATCAGGGCTGAGAGCAGTGTCGGGAAAAGGGGGTTGGAGGCTTGGTGGGGATGTGCAGCCACCCAGGAGCCGGCCCACCCTGGCCACTTGGTGACTGGCAGCAGCAAGGAGCAGAGAGAGGGGGGTGAGGCTGTGCCCATGCCACCCCTCTGCTCCCCCTAAGGTCTGGCAGTCCTTGCCCTGGGTACCCAGATCCCCCATACACGGACACACGGACCACAGGTTCCAGTAGCTCTCACAGGTGCTCTTAATTAACAGGAGGGGGCTCCCAGGCAGCTCGCGGCGATGTCCCCAGCCCCCTGCGTGTCCCCAGAGCCGCTCGGAGCTCTCCGCCGCCACAGTCCCATTTCGGCAGCCCCCTCACGCCGTCTTCTTCACGACGTGGATGAAGTAGCAGGGGATGTGGGCCTGCCCCGGCGTGTAGGGCTGGAAGTCACCCAGAACGCTGTGCTGGCACTTCCCCTGAAAGGCACCCTTCAGCAGCGCCGTGAAGGCCTCCAGCCGGTGCGGGTAGTACGAGAGCCGAAATTTGCTGCGAGGAGGCAACGGCGGTGAGGCTGGGGGGGCTCGGTGCCCACCAGGGACCGCCCTGGTGGCCCCCTCTCACCTCAGCTCCGGGGAGGCCCCCGCCTCCGTCGGGGGGACCTGCACGGTGTAGTCCAGGGTCACCATGTGGGCCTTGTTGTTCACCAGCAGCACCGAGGTGGTGATGTCCTTGGTCAAGTCGCTCTGGGGAGCACAGGAGGGGCATGGGAAAGGGGCTGGGGAGCGGGGTTGGGGCAGAGGGGCCTGGGGAAGGGCAGGGTCGGGCAGCTGCCCACCTTGTAGTAGATGTTCTTGCCGGGCGGCGCGCAGCCCGTGGCCAGGATGTGGTCGTAGTTGCGGTGGTCGATGACCAGGACGCCCCCCGGCCGCACCATGCTGGCGATGTTCCTCAGGGCCAGCTTGTGGTCGCTCTGGTCCCCTGCGGAGGGAACCGCGGCGTCCCCAGGCAGGAGTTGTGCCCTCGTACCCCCAGGACCACCGCCACCCCCCCTCATTTCACCCGTACACAAATCCTTGCACCCCCCCCCCCTCAGCTCTCAGCTCGGGGAACCCACAGCCCCACCCAGGGTATGAGCTCAGGCACGTTCTCAGCCTCGCCGGGGCAGCGCAGGGAACCCACAGCCCCACTTGTGGCACGAGTCTGGGTGTGCCTCCAGCCTTGCCAGGGACGCGACACCGACGCACGCAGCCCCGCCACCCCAGGGCCTGGTGGCCCCGCTCGTGCCATGAACTTGGGCACGTTCGCTGGCGACGCAGCAACACCGCCTTGGTTAACCCGCTCGTGCCATGAGTTAGGGAAAGTTCTCAGCCTCCTGGGCTATGAGTAGGGGTAGAGGTGGGTATGTGACCCCTCCCCGAGCCCTCCCACCCCTCCCAGCCTCACCTTTGAAGTCAGGCAGGTGCGCGAAGGAGTTGCCCAGGCAGATGACAGCATCGAACCCGTCCCCTGGCTTCTCCAGGTCCTTCTCCAGCGTGAGCCAGTTGGCCTCCTCGATGACTGCAGCGCAGGGGAACGCGTGAGGGCAGCTCCCCACCCCCCACCCCCACCTCCCAACACCACCCTTACCCCGCGAGCTTCCCCCAGCTCACCCCATCGGTCGAAGGGCTCCTCCTTGCGCCGCTCCCAGCGCTCCTTCAGCGCGTACTTGAGCATCTTGTCGCTGGCGTCCACGCTGGTCACCTGGAAGCCCTCCTCCAGCAGCATGATGGAGTCCACCCTGGGGACACGGCTGTCAGGGGGGCGCCCAGCAGGGCTCGGAGGGCTTTGGGGAGGGAAGGGGGGCTGCCTCACCCGGTGCCGCAGGCCACGTCGAGCACGGAGCGGCAGCGGTGCTGGCGGAGCAGCGCCAGGAGCCAGCTGCGGTACTCGGCCGTGCGGCTCCGCGTGTCCCCGATGTACAGCTGCCACACGCGGGCCGCCCGCCCGTCCGCGTACTGGTCCGGCAGCCCCTCCGCCGCCACCCCCAGCGACCGCGTCCGGTACACGCTGTCCACCATCCCGCCGCCCGCTCCGGCTCCGGCTCCGGCCCCGGCTCCGGTCCCGGTCCCGGTCCCGGCCCCGCTCCGGCCTCGGCCCCGCTCGCAGCGCGCCACTCCCCCCTGTGCCGGGCGCGCCACTCCTCCCGGCGCGCCACTCCCTCGCCACGCCCCCCGCACTCCCCCCGCCGCCAGCCAATCGCCTGCCGCGCCCTTTCCCGCGCCACGCCCCCCGCCTGCCCTCTCGGCCAATCCGCGCCGCCCGCTCCTCCGGCTGCGCGCCACGGCCCGCGGGTGGCGGGGGTCGGGGCGACGCCTGCGGTGCAGCCCAGCGGGGGGCTGCGGAGTCCAAGGGGGGAGCCGGGGGGAACGGAGGGGCTGGAAGCTGTGGGAAGAGGCAGGAGGAGCACGGGAGAAGGGAGGAGTAAGGGAGGAGTAAGGGAGGAGTAAGGGAGGAGTAAGGGAGGAGTAAGGGAGGAGTAAGGGAGGAGGAGTACTGCCATGAAAACAGCAGCGCTGAGGGTGTGCATGACACGCACGAGGTCCTGCGGAAAGCACCGTGAAAAGCTCCTGCGGGCACAAGTGGGAAGTTAACTGGCCTCTGCGCCTAGGGTGTGTAAGGAGCGCGCTTGTCTTGCTTGATTTCAACCTTGAAGCTTGATTTTGATGCAGCACGTCGGAGGTTGTACATCTCGATCTGCCCCAAAAGGCACCCGGGGCACTTCGCTCACCCCTGGCGAACTTGGGTCGCTGAGAGGGAGAGGGTTTATGCACGGCTAAGCGCCTTCCGTGGGATGGAGGGAAGCAGCCGAGGGCTACGGGGAGCAAAACAGCCCAGGCACAGGAAATGGTGTTAACCATAATGCAAAAAGAATGGAAAAAACAAAACAAAACAAACAAACAAAAAAACATGGGAAAGTTATACCTGCCAAAGACCCCAAAATACTGATTCAATCAGGGCTAGTTCAATCTACAAGCCTAAGACCTGGGTCCAAATACAGGTTAAACTCCAGGACTCGGCCACATGAGGTGACAGAACAGCAGTGGGACTGCTCACAGCAGGGTGATCGCTGTCCAGTACCCTCCAACAGCCCACCCAGACACCTAGGGGCCAGGCGGAGGCTCCCATGACCGTACAATTTCCATACACTGTGAGCTTTTGACAGTCAGTGTCTGAAACGCACGTCCTGGCGCTGCACAACTGTCAGAGTACAGCACAAATACTTCCAACAGCCCCTCAGTTCACGGTGTGATCTGGCCAACGGCGCCGGCTAGTGGGCCAACAAGCAGTCAAAAACCTAGGATGACCAGAGGGTGGTCGGTTACGTGGAGATGCTGGAAAGCCTGCACAGCCTTCTGTCTCCACAGAGCAAGGACCGCAGGGGTCTTGTATGCAATTTCTGGACCAGCTGGTAGGTGCCCTTTACAGGTAAGTAGATCATGCTGCGGCTTGGGAAGTTTTGTTGAAATGGCTGGCGGTTGAAAATGCTCATGCAGGTTGCCAACGGGTCTTAAAAACTCTGCGACATCCTGCACTTACAGACCTGACAGATGCATGTCAGAGGTGGGCACCAACAGCATCAGGCTAACCCTTTAACGCAGGCTTCTGCGGCTTTCCGTGCTGGATCCTCTGAGTCACAATAACACTTTCGTGGATAAGGCGGTTTTGGCTCCACAGGACCTGCACAGCGCCCTTCCCGTCGCTGTAAACTCCGACATTCCGCTCGGTGAAATGAGATACAGGGCCGAGATGGGCCCCACCATCATCACAACAGCCATCGCCGTCCTTTTAGGTTCCATCAAAATGGACAGCTGCTTGTATTTTAATTACACCGGTAAAAATCAACCTATAGCACAAAATATTAATTCCTCTCTATCAATATATAGAAATAGCACAGCCTGCTGCAACTGTGCCAGCCCGAACATCTTCCACTCCACCAACGTGCCCTCAGCACTCCCCTCAGAGATCTTTATCCACGGTGATTGCGCGTGGGGAGGAACACCCGGGTCCATTCATGAAAGCATCCAGAAAGGAAGGGAGGGGGTCGATAAACTCAGGCAGGATGGTGAGTGGGGATGGATTAACAATTTTTTGGGTGGTTTTGGGTTGGGACGCTGGGCTATGCACCTGTTGAAGCTACTCACAGTATCTCTGTTGATTTTCTTATGTATTTTAATACATGTACCGGAAAATGACCGGCCTCTGTACCTAGGGAATATAAAGAAGCACACTCGCCTAATAAAGTTTCGTTTCGTCCTGCACATCGGAGTCCGTACCTCTCAGTCTGCCACAACTGCCCCCTGCCCCGGCTCGCTGGAGCCTACAGGGGCTGGTGAGTCCATGCCAGGGCTGGCCGGGGCCGTGGCCCCACAGTGTGGAGCAAACCCCTTCCCCTTCAGTACTTTTGGGGTGAGCACCATGCCTCGGGGCTCCCAGCCCCCGCCTACAGCTCATCAGCAGGGCTGTGGGGGAGCGGGGCCTCCTCCTGGACACCGTGCTCCTCCAGGGTGGCCCCTGCATCGTGGAGGCTCTCGATGCCCTCGCTCTGCTCCTTCACAGTTTTCTTCTTCTTCTTCCCGCTCTTTTTCTTGCTCGGCTTCTCCCCCAAGCTCGCCAAGTCGCCCTTCTTGCCGGTCCATTTCTCTGCCAGGCAGCCTGGGGAGAGAAGCAAAGCCCTGAGGGAGAACCGGGTCTCCCCACACCCTCATCAGGCCACCCCGCTCTGCCCTATACGTGCCCGTCACCCCTGGGAGCAGCCAAGACTTACTCGCATCCTTCCCTTTTAGCACGTGGTCAGCACAGAGAAACTGGGAGAGATCCTCTGTCTGGTGGTGCCTGTACCAGTCCTCGATCACGTCTTCGTACTCCTCCACCAGCACGTCGCACTAGCAGAGAAAGGAGAGCCTAGATCCCAGCACGGGGGGTGGGAGCAGGGTGCCAGGTCCTGCCAGCACCCACAGATCCTCCCCCAGCCTGCAGAGCCGCAGCGGGCTGCCCCCGGCGGGCAGGTACCTGCTTTTTGAGGTCGGCCACCTCGGCGGAGGTCTCGTTCCACAGCTCGTAGGGGATGTCCATCACCACCTTGACGCCCTTGTGCACCAGGTTGTGCAGGGTCTCAAAGGTTTCCGACATGCCCTGCAGGGGAAGAGAGCCACCCCGTGAGGTGACGTTCCCTGCCCAGCTCCTGCTCTGTCCCCAGAGTGCTGCCCGGGGTACAGACAGGCACAGGGTGTGTATCTCCCTCCCCAGACCCAATTTCTGAGGCCTCATGTGCAGATGGCTGGCTAGGGACCCAGAGGACAGGAAGAATGAACCACAGTTCAGTGCCCCAGTAGCGTGCAGGGAGGCGAGGGACTGAAGGGCCGCCCCCACCTTTGCAAATCTGTTGCTGCCGCTCCTCTCCTTGTGCAGGTTGTAATCCAGCAGCCTCTTGCAGATGTTCTCCGTCACCTCGATGAGCCGGATGTCCCTGCACAGACAGGAGGGAGGGGAAGGGCTCAGTGCTGCTCCCCAGGAACAGCCAGGGTGTGGGGCTGAGCCTTTCTGGAGCAGGAGACGCATTTCCCAGGCCATGCTGCCCACGCTGCCAAGCCCTGGTGCATTTTAGGCCCGTGCAGCCTACCTGCTGGCTCAGCAAGGCCCCAGCTCTGCAGGCACCAAATGCAGCAGGAGCCCCTGCCCCGCTCTCACTTACGACTGCGTGTACTTGACGGCGGAGCCCTTCCCATCCAGGAAGCCATACTTGGTGTCGATCACCTCCTTGGTCTTGCCGGTCTCCTCAAAAGCAGATTTCAGCTCCAGCGCCACGTACTTGCACACTGCGGGGCGGAAAGCACAGGCGGGTTGGAGGCTTTCGGGGCTCCCGGGGAACGGGACTGCTTGGGGAATGAGAGCTGGGAGAAGGGCTGGATGGAGATGTGAGCAGAGCCGACATCATTTGTGTCCAAAAAAGCAAACAGCAGCACCTCAGCTGGTTGTGCTGAGATCCCCTGAAGCGAGGGGAAGACCCAAATCAGACCCAAATCCCTGTGCTAACGTTAGGGAGGCCGAGTTCCACCTGCGGGAGCCCTTCAGAGCCACATTGGGCAGCCACCCACGGCCTCATTTTTGAGGATGATGATGAGGAGGAGGATGAGGCTGAGGAGAAGGATGAGGAGGAAGGCTCCTCGTGCACCACAGCAGCCCCACGGCACATCCCACCCCCTCCCCACAGCACCGAGGCCTCCCACCCCTGAGGGGGCCGTGTGAGGGCAGGGCCCAACCGCCCCCCCCTTTACCCCCTCACCCCCCCCCCCATTTTCCCTCAGGCGGCCGCAGCGCTTTATTTCCTCAGCGCCTCCCCCTCGCAGCCCTGTCCCCGTCCCCGCTCACCCTCGCACTTGCTGGGCAGCCGCACCCAGTCCGAGTCGTCGCCGCCCGCCGCCGCCAGCAGCAGGAGGAGGAGGAGGAGCGCGGCGGGGCCCTCGGCCGCCACAGCCGCCGCCACAGCCGCCATGGCTCCGCTTCCGGGGCCACGCATCCGGCCGCGCCTCGCCCCGGTAACCACGGCAACCGCCAATCCGAGCGGGCTGCGTGGCGCGCCCGGCCAATCGCAGCCCGCGCGCCACGACAAGCCCCGCCCACCGCCTGCCCCCGGGATGGAGGGGCCCCAAGTGTGGGCAGTGCCCTTACCTCCCCCCCCACACCCCCACCCACCCTCCCCATCCCCAGATTTTGGGGTCCCCCCCCTGCAGCAGCGGGGACCCCGCTCCCCTCCCAACCCCCCCAGCCTTGAAGGGGGCTCTCCGTGCTTGCAGCACCGGGGGGGCTCCTCGCTGCCCGTCCCCTGGGGGCGCCCCCAGACCCAGCAGGGTGCTGCCCCCCCCCCCCCCAGGCACTCACCCCTGGGCCATGATGGCTGAGGTGAGGAGGGCATCGAGGAGCGCCACCTTCAGCAGCACCACTCGGGCGGCCGCCAGCAGGGCGGCGGAGCCACAGGCACGAGGCCCTGGAAGAGGGGAGGCCAACGTAGCTCCCACAGGAGGCCGGGGGGCCGCACCGTCCCCACACGGCCTCCAGAAGTGTGGCGAGGCTGGGCGGGTGGCCTCCAGGCTGTGGGGGCTGTGGGTTCCTGGGGTCTCACATGGCATCCATCTCCAGCCTCCACCCACGGATTTCAACCCCAGCCTCCATCCTGGGTCTCCATCCCCTGGCTTCCAACCCCAGTCTCTGTCCCAGACCTCCATCTCCAGCCTCCAAACCCCAGCCTCCATCTCCAGCCTCTATCCCAGGCCTCCACCCCAATAATCCTTCATCTCCAGCCTCCAACCCCTGCCTCCATCCCCAGCTTTCAACCCCAGTCTCTATCCCATACCTCCATCTCCAGCCTCCAAACTCCAGCTTCCAACCCCAGCCTCCATCTCCAGCCTTCAACCCCAGCCTATATCCTGGGCCTCCATCACCAGCTTCCAACCCCAGTGTCCAACCCCAGTCTCCATCCCTGGCTTCCAACCCCAACCTCCATCCCCAGTCTCCATTTCCAGCCTTCATCTCCAGCCTCTATTCTGGGCCTCCATCTCCAGCTTCCAACCCCAGCCTCCACACCAAAACGTTCACCATCCCCACCAGAACCCAGTTTAACGCCCCCTCACCCCCTCCCCAGTCCATCCCCACCCCAACCTCCATCCCCACCCCAGCCTCCAGCCTCCCAGCGGGGTTTCCTCCCTGTCGGTGAATTTTTGGGCCACCACCAGGGGCCGGGCACTCACCGATCACGGTGCTGGGGCACAGCTCTGCCTCCTCACCTCTGCCTGCGGGACGGGGAGCAGCTGGGGAGGTGGCTGCAGGTGCACATTGGGGCCGGCCACAAACCCCTTCCTGCGCCCCAAACCGAGGGCAACGTTCGCCCGCGGGGCCTCGCACCTGCACCCCACCATCACGGGAGCCTCGTTCAGCCCCGTTCCCACCGAGCCGGGCAGCGGGGACACCCTACCTGTGACGGGGATGGGGCTGGAGCTGCGTGCCGGAGCGGTGCTGTTGGGCCCCACGTGGCAAGCCAGCAGCCCACCCTGCGGGGGGCTTTCGGGGAGGATGGAGACGGCGCAGACGGTGCCGCCGTCCTCCGGCGAGGCCCCGTAGGTGAAGGACTGCAGGGCGCTGCCGTTCCCGCTGGAGATCCAGACGGCGTCTCCGGAGCCGGGCGGCACGTCGCTCACCACGCACACCACCAGCTGCCGGCGCTGCCCGTCCACCACCATGGTCAACGGCGGAGCCAGGGTGGGCACAGGAGGCTCCGGAGGCTGCGATGGAGGCAGGGTGGGCACCGTGGCTAAGCGCTGGCATCCCCTCGCCCTTAGCACCTCGCCGTGGATGACCACCATCCTGCCCCGGTGCTATGGGTGGAGGACCCTGCCACCCTTGTGCCTCGTCCCCCCGGTACTCACGGGGCAGGAGAGGGAGCAGGGTGGAGGCCAGCAGCATGCGGAGCACCTCCATGGCAGCAACAGCAGCAATAGGACCAGCAGCAGCAGCAGCAGGAGGAGCAGCACCAGCAGCAGGAGCAGGGCTCAGCCCCTCGCCACCTCCACCTGCCCCTCGCACCTCCCAGCCCCCGGGGGAGGAGGCTGCGAGGCTGGGGCAGGCTCCGCCGTGGTCCCGCCCCCCCCTTCCCCGCCCCTCCGCCGCGGTAGGGCCCCGGGTAGCGCCATGGAGTCGGCCCGCAGCACCGCGCCCTCCCCGCAGCCCGCAGGGGGGGACGAGGACGCCCCAGGCCGCCCCCTCCTCCTTCGCCGAGCTCCTGCGGCTGGTGCGCAGCGGCCGCAGCCCACCGGGGGTGCGCAGCCCACGGGCAGCCCCCACCGGGGACACCCCCACGGCCTCCAGCCTGCCGCGGCCCAAAAAGCCCTGGGAGAGCCGCCCCGGCCAGCCCTGAGCTGCAGGAGGCACGGGAAACCCTTCCCTGCCCTTCCCTGCCCTTCCACCAGGCGCCAGCTCCAAAAGAATTATTTTTATTTAAGAAAACATATAAAGAACTCTTAACAAGTGAAAAATTCTCCTTTGTGCCCTCGCCGCAAGCAGCAGGGCCCAGCAGGTCCCAGCAGCAGCCCGGCTCTCCCCAAACACGCGTGGGGCATCAAATTTGTGCTGCTGCCTCCAGGGACTCGAGACCGGGAGCCTGGGCTTTGTGCCTGCTCCCCCCCCCGGCACCAGCAGAGCTGCTGGAGCCAAGGTAGGAGCCAGGCTGCAAAGCCGTATCTACTTCTCTTCTTCAGCCAAATGCAAAAAAAATATATATAATAAAATAAAAAGTTACAGAGCAGTGCAACGCACTGCCAGTCCCAGCATTTACTTCATGCTGTTCTCTGACCTCTTTCTCTCCGCGGCTGCAGCCAGCACTCAGAACGAGGACCCCCCCACACACTTTCCTGGTGGGAGCAGTGATATTGCTTGATTTCCATACACTGTATCTCGACAGCTAGTGATCCTTTACGAAGGGTAAACAAAAGTCGGCGGAGCTGCATTTCTTCTCGATGCAGCTTCACGAGTTGCTGAGACGGCCCCGTCTCGGTACAAACCTCAAATTAACCTTGCAACCGTTTGAAGAACTTGAGAACGGACTGAAAGCTTCAAGCCCACCGGGGGCAAACGCAGGACTAACGCGTTCTTCCTCCCTCCCCGCAGCACAATCACGGCTCCAGCGTCAGCCTCAGCTTGATGTTCATGGCTGCCAGCTCTGCCACGAAGTAACGGAAGACGTGGGGCACCGGGATGACCTGGATGGTGTCCACCCGGCCGCACAGCAAGCAGGAATACCTCCTGTTGCTCGCCACGGAGGACGGCGGTGGCCGCTGCAGCAGAGGAGAGAGCATGCTGCCGCAGCTCGTGCAGACGTAAGCTTCGGAGCCATCAGAGCAGCTGAAGAGGCGGTCGTGCAGCAAGAAGGAGGTGCCGTGGGCCAGCAGCGCGTCGCGCTCCATCTCGCCGAAGCGAATCCCACCTTCCACGTTCCTCCCCTTGATGGGCTGGTTGGTGACGGAGTCCCGAGGGCCCGTCGTCCTCACCTGGAACTTGTCCGAGACCATGTGGCGCAGGCGCTGGTAGTACACGACTCCCACGAAAATATCTGCCTCCAGCTCCAGGCCGCTGATCCCGCTGTACATCTTCTCCGTCCCGAAGAAGTTGTAACCCGCGCTCACCAGCGTCTCGCCGAAGTATTTCAGAGCGGAGTCCTCCTCCGAGAAGGTGAAGGGAGTGGCGTCGTAGCAGACGCCGTGCAGCGCTGCCGACTTCCCCGCCATGCTCTCGATCAGCATCCCGATGGTCATACGGGAGGGGAACCCGTGGGGGTTGAAGAGGATGTCTGGGACCATCCCGTTCTCCGTGAACGGCATGTCTTCAACCGGCCACAGCTGGCTCAGGATGCCTTTCTGCCCGTGACGGCTGGCGAATTTGTCGCCCACAGTTGGATTTCGGGGAACTCTCAAGGTGATGCAAACCTTCTTCAATTTCCCGGTGCCGCGGTCGTTGCTGCATAACTTGATGTTGTCTACAATGCCCACCTCCTTATTCCTGTGTGGGTAGAGAAACATTCACAGCAAAGGGGTCAGACAGGCTCATGGTTTCTAGGGAAGGGAAGCAGAGGAAGGAAACCAAACCACTTTTTTAGTCTAATAAAGCGCTCGGGATCACTGCACTTCTTGGGAAATACCATTCAGGGAAATCAGACTGTGTAAGAATTTGAGAAAAAAAAAAAAAAGATAAAAAAGCATCACACAAGTGCCATCCATTTGTTGTTTCTAATGCTAGAAGCACAGCTGCAAGCTGCCATGCGATGAGGTAGTGTGCCATCCATGACTTCAATTAAAAGTAATTTAAACCAGGTTCATCAATGTCACACCCAATCTGAGAAAACTTTTGTTTTGAGTCAGCAGCATCCCTGCCTCCCCAGTAAATTCTCACTGTCCTGGTGGGATACTGAAATCAATAAATAAATACGTTTAGAGCAAAGTAAGAGAGGAAGGCTCAGGAACAGAGAGTAAAGGCATGGTGTGAGCTGACACAGCCTTTGCCAACAAGTTCAGGGGTGTGCTGCTTCTCCACGTGCACCCACAGCCCGATGTTTCACACGGTGGGTGCCTGCTGCAGGCTTAACTTGTGTTACACTGCCCAAACTCTCAACTTGTTTTAGAGGTTTTTCCCCCGTTGTCCTTTGAATGCAATCAAAGTAGAGACCATCACAAGAAGAAAAAAAAAAAAAAAAAAAAAGAAAAGAACTGCAAGCTTGTTCGAAATTGTAAGTCAAAGCCTCTGTTCATCTCTTCCTAGCTGTGCTTAAGACCTGGCAGTGTTAAGACCTGCAGCACACTTCTGACGCTAAGGAGAACTTCAGGGTGCAGGGTCCCTGGGGAAACTGGGGGCAGGAGCCAACACTGAGGGCAGGGAACTACACGTCTCCATAGGAATCCAAATAATGACCCGATTTGGATCTGATCTGATTTGCCTTCTCAACATGAATAATAAATAGCATAATCCTCACACTATAAATGTTGTAGACAGACACAGAAAAGACCTCAAGCTGTATGGATAACTGCATACATATGAGTGCAGTCTTTGGTGACCAAGCACTTTCTTGTATTTTGCTGTTGTTGTTTTGTGCGTTGGTGGTGCGGTGTTTGTTTGTGTGGTTTTTTTTGGACAGAACACTTTATCCTATTCAATTAACAAAATGCAGCAAAAAATGTCACGGGAAGAGTTCTGGGGAGACAGCAAAACATTTCTGGAAGCTCTCTTTTCACCAGTCTCAGATCTGTCTCCTGGGTAAGTCAGGCTTTGCAGCTCTTCAGCATACAATGGTTTAGAGGAAAGCCACAAAACATGCACGTTAAGTCACCTGTACCACGAATTTCATGTTCCATCAACACGTGCATGTTTTGTGACCATGTGAGTGTGAGCAGGAAAGGAACCCCCGGGAATATCACGCAGCTGATCAGGGGCCACTGCTATCAGACTGCTCCCAACTGCATGTTTGTTTGGGGCCAGGAAGGATAAGCTGAACTTACTTATAGTACACAGTGAAGGTCTCCCCTGTGTTGAGGTTCATGTAGCTGTAGAAGGGATCCCCTGGCTGTAGGATGGAGCCAATAAAAGGCAGTCCATCAGCATCTAACTTCTCTGCAACATTCGGGTCACCAGGCCTGGCACCAAATACTAAATTATCATCTCCCCTGTTGGCTTTAAGGGAAAGGTCAATGCTCTCCATCTTGATAACACTTCCGTAAGCAAACCCTCTCTCCCAGGAAGATTTGTTCACAATCTAAGAGGAAGAAAAAAAGACCTGTTAGAGATTTGCTAGTAACTTCAAGGAAAGCATTTCCATTCTGATCCAGTGCTCATCTTCTTAACAAATTCCTTCTTTTGGTGGCTCACCATTGCATCTTCCATGTCATAGCCACTGTAGGAGATGACAGCCACAATGGCGTTGGTACCGACCGGGTAGCTGTCCATGCTGTAGAAGTCGTACATTCTGGGCCTCACCAGAGGGCTCTGGGGAGTATGGAGGAGGTACAGCTTGTTATCCGAGCGGTCCCTGTAGTTATAAACTGGAAACCCCATGGTTTGCTTTCCTGTAAAGAAAGAAAGTTGGATTTGTTTAGGATCAATTCAATGTCAAGCCACGTTTCATCCTCCAGGTATCTTGCTAAGAACAAAGCTGGAAATGAGTTAGAGGAATTATCAATATTAAAAACTACAGAATTTAATAATTGCTCTAAATCCAGTTATAAGAGTTTCTATGAACCACACACAATATTCAATTCCCTTCATAGTATTACATAAGGAATATTTGTAATTTATCGTCTTTTCTGCAATTTCAGAATCTCCGATTAACATTTTTCCTCCTTTGAAGTTTCCCATAGTGAGGCATACTTTATGTATTTCCAAGCCACAAAGCATTTGCTACTGCCAGGATCAATGCACTGGCAGGAAAAACAAGTTTTGAACAGAGTTACATTGGTACTTTCAGAGAAGTATGAAAACATGGTAGCATTTTAAGGACATCTTTCTGATAATATTGCCAGAAATGTAATATGCTATGGAGATAATGAGAGCTGCTCTCAGTTCCTACCACATGC